ATATCTATGACAAGGAAAGGAAGAATTTTATCATTTCTCTACATTTTTTGGGATTTCTCTCCTGGCTTTTATCAATGGCAGTGACATTTCGAGGCAAAAAATGTATTTTTAAATTCCTTTTTGTTGCATTATCATGAATCATTCGATTAAAATGTAGGCGAAGATTTTCAAACACGTCAATAAAATCTTCAAATTGTGCATTTTTAGACATCTGTTCCATATACCAGGTGTCACCAAAGTTTAGGTCAGTAGATATCTGGGTTATTCAACATACAAAAAATTGCAAAAAATTGTGGAATTTATGGAAGCGAATGATCTTCAAAATGGTGGGATCAAATCACCTTTTTGTCGAACAATCTACAAGAAACCATCTTCCACTATGGTTTTTCAAGTTGCATCCCCATGTTTTTTTTTTCGGATAGGTGATATAAGGTTAGTGTAGGAAGTGATAGCAGTCATTTCGAACAATCATCCGATGAAAAATCGATATTTTTCTCTTGAAAATTATTGAACTTATTCGAAATTCTCGAGGATGAATCTCTTGCTAAATATCTAGATCAATACGCACTATCTACTGACATTCAATTGGAACAAATACAGGGTAGTTCAAGATTCAGAATTCTGATCACCCTGTATCTGTTCCAATTAAATGTCAGTAGATAGGAAATCAAAAGTTGAGATAGGGATATGGAAGCCGTTTTGACCAATAATGAATGGTTTCGACACAAAAAAATGCTTTGAAAAATCTCGATTTTGAACACCATATAGCTCTGTAATCATTGCCGCTAGATCTCAAGTGTGATGCATTGATGAAATCAGCTCTTTGGAGATAATCTAAAAATGCAATGAAATACAGGGTGTTCCATTTGAAATAACAAAGTTGTTGATACTTTTCGTTAGAAGCGGCAGCGCCGCAGAGCTGAAAATAATTTAGAACGATGTACCCCTCGAAAATGTAGATTTTTTTCATAATCCGGTTTTGGCGATCTACAGAGCCTCTGTTTCGTTTTCAAAGGGCCACCCTGTATAAACAAGTAATTACTCTGAATGTGCACTCGTAACTTGAATTTTTAATGATCATTACTGATCTGTGTGTGGATCGATATCGATATGTTTCACTGGACAAAGTCATTTTTTATGTAAAGCTGAAAGTGAAACCAGAGAAAAGTCATCATGAAAAATATCACGCTCGCTGGTTCAGACATCTGCAATATGGGAATTGTTTTAAAGAAATGGATGATAAAAATGAGAAATTTTCATGGATATTGGAAGTATAACTACCTCTCTTCGTTTGAACATCAACTTTAGCGAGAATTATTTAAAAACAATTTTCTGGCTGTTGTAGACATGATTTCGTTAAATACCTCGTATTTCATTATTCGATGAAAGTTTATTTGTGACAGAGGAATCTACCTATACATACATATTATAAACTGAAGTCTGTGGACTGTGACCGTGTTCAAAGAACATTGAAACTTCCTGTATCAGATTCATTATCATATCATCTCATTATCATACGAGCAGAGCACGTGAAGAAAACAAAAACAAATTCTTACAAAATTTGAGAAAACTCTTATTTGGCCTGTCGGATGTAGAGCGAAAATACAATAAAAATGATTGTATCATTAATTTTATTGCGACAATCATTATAGTCAGAAATGATGTTAACAGTGTGCTGAATTTAACGAAGCCATGGTATTTGAATTGCTGGCCAACGAGAATATTTCAGACTGTAATGGCTTCTGAAATTATTTTCCTTGAAAGTCCTCAAAACTTTTTTTTGAGAGAATTCATATTCTTTTCTGCAATTGGCCCAAAAGTCGTCTATGTTTTGTTCAAAAATTATCTGGAATTTTCAAATAAGACACCCTGTAACTCAGACAGGAGAAACATTTTACATATGTGATTTGATTTGATTGCAATCAAACTAACGGTATATGTGGTTATCATATTGTTGATGGTTCAAAAGTTATTCAATTTTTCTGAAAAACGCGACCCATTTGAAAAAAATTAATTGTAAACAGGCTGTTTTGAATATCCCCATATGCTATACCATTTCGGAATCTGTATTGAATGGACAACGTTTTCTTATAATTGGTTATCTTCGCGGGGTAGCATGAAAAATAAAAATCCTCTGGAATTGAGAATTGACATTCTCTCTCAAATCGGATAAATAAAATGATGTATAAGTGATATCCACATATACTAGTTTGATTGGAAATGACCCCCCATACCACTCCACTTCCTTTGATCCGTGACTTCTGGGACACCCTGTATAGTTTTAATATTTCCAATTCATCATGAGACACCTGTATATGAGAAGGAATTGTCTCATATCTTCAGATGTTTCAAAACCCAATTCTCAATTCACCCTTGTTTTGATTGTTGAAAAATAAATATACATTCTAGAAAGAGGGTTCATTTGAACGAGTCAAGTTAGATTATTTAAACAAAGCGGTCTCATTTGTTCTTTCAAGTAATTTTCCGACAAATATACTTTTTAGGAAGGTCCATTTAGGCAGCGTAAGGTTAGATTAATCACCTAGGTCTAGTAAGGTTAGATTGTTGTAAAAAATAAGTCTCTTATGTTCTCTCAAGTAATTGAGTATGCGAAAAATATACTTTCTAGGAAGAACGTTCATTTAGGCCGGGTTAGGTAGGTTGCGTTAGGTAGTTTGGAAAACGTAGTCTGCTTCCTTATGCAGAAAAGAATATTTTCCTCCCTTATATTACGTCGAAATTCGGGTCGATCGAAATTTGGTTCAATCGAAATTTGGGTGAATCGAATTTGGGGCGAATCAAAAATTAGGCGAATCGAAAATTGGGAAAATTGAAAATTGGGTGAATTGAAAATTTGTTGAATCGAAAATTGGGTAGATTGAAGATTGGGCAAATCGAAATATGATACCAATATCCACCTTTCCTTTGAAACTCTGTATTTTCTTGAATAATTGAGATATCAAGATGAATAAAAAACGAAAATATTCGGAAGAGATATATTGGGCTCCAATTTGGTGTTGAGAAATCGTTTCAATTATCAGTGGTTCAGTCCACAGGATGTCTAAAAAAATACCGAAAAATCCGTACTTTCTTTACACCCCTGTATATGATGGAAAGACTCATCGTTTGAAGGTAATCATTTCTCAGATGTATTCGTGAAGAATGAAGCTACATTTCGTGAAGAAAAAAATTTGAATCGAGCGATCGGTTCGAAAGAAAATTGATGTCAAATTTAGTGTAAATTTTGCCCGTTCCCCTAATTGTGCCAGTGTGTGTATTTTGTGTATCGAAAAATTGAAATATTTGATAATGATGAGCCCAGAATGATTCTTCATTCAGATTTGGCATCAACGGGTTTATTCGGAGATGGTGGGCAAATCATAAATTGGGTTAATCGAAAATTGAGCCGAACGCAACCTACCCCTCTCGTTTGCATGCAATATTTTTCACAAAATATTTCAAAAATTCACTCCCTGATTATTTTTCGCTCTCTGTAGACGTTTCCCCTTCAAGATCATGGGAAAGTGTCGATCAAGAGCGACGTTCGGGGGAGACGAAGTCTCTTCAAAGTGGGATTTTTCGATAGGCAAGACGGGGTCCTTTCACGCAAAATCCTACTATAAAATCTCTCTCCCCGAATGAGGGATTCAGTTCAGTCTTCTCCTTCGAATCTCTAAGAAAACCACCATGCAAGTCTACATTGTAAGTAATATTAGAAAAGCGCGAGAAAATTTGTGAAAATTCGTGGGAAATTCATATCAGTGCAGTGATCAATAAGTATTGTGAAGGAATCTTGGTTTTGCGAATTATGGAAATTTCCGAGAATCGTATACAGGGTGATTCGATCTGACGCTCTACAAACGACGATAGAACGTAGTGATTGATTTTAGTCGCGTTACATTTTGATTATTCATTGAAGTATTTATGAACGATATTCCATTGACATCACTGAATCAACTGTCAATAAATGTCAATTTGCCATGACTAATTCAGACTAAACCATTCTGAGGTTTGTGTCGAACCCTAAACTTATTTGACGAAGGACATTTTTTCAACACTCATTATTCATTGATATTTCTACAAACATTCATTTTGATCTTCTTCCTGTGATTCTTCCTTTATTAATAATTTAATATTAGCAAGGTGCAAGAAAATATGTGCAAATTCGTGGGAAATTCACATCAGTGCAGTGATTGATAAGTATTGTGAAGAAAAATATTGTTTTGCGAATTATGGGAATTTCGTATACAGGGTGATTCGATCTGACGCTCTAGAAACGACGATAGAACGTAGTGATTGATTTTTGCCCCAAAACATACTCAAACAAATTTTCATCACAATGTTGCTAGTAGTCTCGACATAATCGTAAACATTGTTGATAAACATGTTGAATACGGATGTCGTCCTAGCAACGGGGCAATTTTCCAAACACCCTGTATATCCCCTAATTATCATTGTTATTCTGTATGGACACAAATTTTCAAAAACCTGTTGAGTTTCTAGTGAAATGAGTTTTTTCCTATTTTGCTTCCACTCTGTATGTTCTCAAAAAGTTATTCATTCGTGCCTCATTGACCTTCAAGTAACATAAAAACAGTTTTCTTCAACATTAAGTATTGTTTAATAATAAATATCTGAGACTCAGTCATTGCAATACTGATGAATAAAGTTAAATTGTTTTCTTGATGAAAGTAATAAAAATACAACAAAAGAGTGTTCCTAACAGGTCTTTACAAAAACCTACCAAATATTCCCCAGACCAAAACTCGTAGTTGATGATTTGAGCAACTCAAACCACCATTTGACTATCATCGTAGAAGTTATAGATGCTCATTAGAAAAAAATCGAGTTCCCATGGCTTCATTACCCTGTATGGCTATGCAAATTCACCAATTTCACGTACCATGAGCCTATTCAAAGTTTACAACATCAATTTTCCGTTCACCGACATTTTTTAAAATTTCCCACGTTTCGACCCTAAACCGTCTCGCCCTCTTCAGGTTTGCGCCGTCGCATTCTTCGCGGCAGCTAGCGCCCGACCAGGCGGCGGCTACGACCATCTGGAGTTGGCAGGGTATGGAGGCGAGCACCAGCTCCTCCATGGAGGAGGAGGAGGAGGGGGGCACGAGCTCCTCCACGAGGAAGAAGGAGGGTACGAAGGACTGGGAGGAAACGAGCTGGGACACGGGCTGGAAGACGGGGGACACCATCATCAAGAAGAATACGTCGATTATCACGTGAGCGATTTTCAATTTTTAACTGATATCTTTCAAGCGTCCGATTTCTGAATGTCCAGGTGAATCAGACGAAAAACACTACAGTTATGTTGAATTTTAAATTTTTAATTCAAAATTTGGAATTCTGTATCTCAAAAACCCCTGGAAGTAAATTTTCAAGCGATTCGGACGAGGAATGACAAAATCCAGCGCCATCTTGGAGACGCCATCTTGGCTCAAAATTCGCGATTCCAGACCTCAAATTATCTCCAGATAAATATATTCGTTCGAACGTCACGAGAAATTACATAAATGAACATGTCGAAAGCTGGAATCTTATCTAAACGTAAAATACTTTTTCTAATTTTGACGTTGAAACTTTGCTCGAACAAATGACCAGTTAGTTCTATAAGAGTTCTATCGATATCTCTCTACCAATCATGTACAACATTTAGTTGATAAGTTGACTTTGCCTGTCACTTTGAATTAGCCATCAAACAATAATACAGTCACAAATGAACGACGAAATATATTCGTTTGATATTTTCACTAGTAGAAAATGTCTGATTTAAGTTCAGATTCATCAAGTGATATCATGGAAGCATCCCAATAATATGCACTGTTCCCTTCGTCCATCCATATTTTATTCCGTAAATAGTGTTGAAATAAAAAGAATCTGTCATATCTTACATGATTTCTCATACCCACAAAACTCCTAGTTTCGAAATTTGCATATATCGAAGTCATTGAGAAGAATATATTTTATAAAATGTCTATTTCGACACCCTGTATCTCTTTCATCAGGCTCCAGATGTCATAATTGCAACGTAAAAAATGCGCCGCAGGCGAAATTTTTTCGGGGTTCAAGTTCAAATGCCTTCAGATTGAAAATTTGATATTTTTCAGATTGACAATGATTTGATTACATAATTGAGTTATTAATTATTCAGTATTCCATGTTCTCATTTAATTTTAATTGGTATAAAATGATCTCAACATGAAATCTATATCAAGAGCAAGCAAAAAGTATGTAATATCTTTGAGTGTTGAATACTGTCTGTAGGTGAACCCAGTAGGTGAATATTTATACGAGATGTTTTTGCATTTTCGATCTCGTTTCTTTGAATTAATATATTAGTTTTATTCTATTACATTTTTAAAAGGGACACCCAAAATTTCACTGCTCATTTCTATCCAGAAAGTTACTATTGAAGATCACTTTTTTAGATTTCTGAAAGTAACATTTATGTAAGACAGTGTCGATTTTTGACAATCTCCCTGATTTGTCCTCACAACAAATATATTGAAATAATACTCAAATTTTCATTCATAGAAAAGATGAATGAAGAAATTTTATATAATTATATTGAAAAAGATTATTCTCAGATATATTTATGAACACAAAAAAAAAGGATATATACAGGGTGACATAGAAAAAAGTACATTGCATAGTGCCACACAATAGAGGACACTAAAATAAGGAAAAAAGTTCCTATAAACATGGGTCCGCAAGGCTTTCGGTTAAAAGATAACACACTGTATATCACATAATGTCACGTAGTTCCATATCTTCCTGACATTCCGTATGCAGAAAATGCCTGTGACAGAATTGGTATGGTACATACTTAACAGAGACGCGTGTTACCACAAATCAGTGATAGAAAGTAAGAAAAAATGCGGTAATGGGTAATTAGAATCTTTCTTCATGTTCCTGTTGAATATTTACACGTTCTCTACTCAAACGGATGATTGAATTTATCGTTTTATCGTAATTTATTCAGCTCCTAGTTTATTGAATGAGTAGGTAATTGTCGGTATGCGTTGTAAACTGGTTCATTAGAATACGGTCAATGACTGAGAATTCATAAAAAAACTCACATAACACCCTGTATATGGTATTATATGGATCTCGTAGCATGTTGTTTGTGTGTGAAACTAATGACATAATAATATGAGGAAGAGCCATTGTTCATCTTGATCACTCAGGCATTGTTAACAAACGGAAAATAAATATTCTGTAACAATGAATACAGTGTGGGACCCCTCTAAAATTTTTGTTTATTGAAAAATACCTTCATCGAAATTGGAATAATCAAATCACTTGATGATAGAGCCAAATCAATATCATCTAACACAATTTCAATATTGATGTCCTCCACCACAATGAAAACTTTAGGAGTTTTGGGAACTGTCAAACTCATAACTCATTACTGAAATGCCGTTTTTGTTTTATTTTATTTTGACATGTAGTTTGACACTTTTCCAAACTGACAAAAGTTTCGACAATAAGTCTTACTTTACGTAATTAGTTGCGTGAAGAGAAATATTACATAACTGATGATGAAATGTTCATTTCAACACCAGTTACGGAATAAAAATATTGATGGATGAAGCAGGAATTAGTATATTGAAAAAAATTTTGAAAAATTTCCTTCCTAATGAAAGGCCTTTGATATTTTTGAAAAATCGCACAGCTTTGATCATCATCCTGAAGAATTCTTCCTGAAGAATCATTTCCATAGGTTCGATTATCAATGAAACAATCAGGAACTGGAAAGAAATTGAAAATCCGTAATCCTCGACCACGGAAACCCCTGAATATGAATTTTCACGCAATTCGGACGAGGAATGACAAAATCGAGCGCCATCTTGGAGACGCCATCTTGACTCGAAATGCGCGATCCCAGACCTCAAATTACCTCCAGACGAATAAACTCACTCTAACTTCACGAGAAATCACATAAACAATCATTTCGGAAGCTGCAACACATCAGTTTTAATCGTTGGGAATTGTTTTAGGCACCAGCTAAATACCACTACGACTATGCTGTGCACGATCTGCACACCCATGACATCAAGTCCCAATGGGAGACTAGAAACGGCGACAAAGTCAAGGGAGAATACACCCTGGTGGAACCTGACGGTTCTAGGAGGATAGTCTCATATACGGCCGACAAACACACCGGATTTAATGCCGTCGTCAAGAATGTGCACGATTACTAGACCTGGATCTAGATTTCCAATATGACGCTCCGATCGTACACTGAAGAACTAGTAGGTATGTTTGGATCTAGGGATGCATTTACACCACCAATTGGAATAACGTATTTATCAGACTCAGTTTTGACTATTTTTTTTTTTGAAGTTTGAAGAACAGTATTTCGACAAAGCATTTATTGTCGTGTAGATTCATGGTTCGAACATATTTTTTTTTCGTGTACATACATAGTTCAATTGACCTAGTTTTTTTCGAGAACTTAAGAGAACTTGTTGAGTTGGACTATGTCGGAGTGTTTTATTTATGGTTCTGAATCAGTATTCAGTTTTGGAATTGTCAGAGATTACTAATATCAGTATGATTTTTTACTATCGTTGATGCTGGTTTCTCTGGAATTTCGAAACGGTTGTTTTTTGTTTTGTATTTTAAATAGTTAGCCATGATTTCACTCAAAACTAGTAAGATACCCTTTTTGTGTTCTCACTTTTCATTCATTACTTCACACATTTTTTATTTTCTTATTTATATAGGTATATTAATTTATGTCAAATGATACTCAAGCGTAGGTATGTTATAATGTATATGTATATAAAATTTTATGTACTTACTTACTATCTGCTTATAATAATAAAATGTTATTTTTTTAATCCAAGTTTTTATTTATCAAACAAAATCTATAACGATAAAAGTGTTCTGCAAACTGTCCACCGAGTAGTTATAGTTTCTTTTACAACATTTTTTTTATATCATCACTCCTCATTTCTATAAATGGAAATTTAATGATTTTCCCCAAAATGTCGATGCGTTGAAGAATATAACTATAAAAAAACCTGAAAGAAAAATTCGTTTGATAATTAGTGACACCGTGTTTTGAGAAACATTTGAAGATGATTAATATAGTTGAGGTATATCGAAAAAATATCGTTGTTTTTGCCTTAGCTTTGGATGTTTAAACAATAATTAGCATCTGAAATCTGAACATGAAAATGGTAAAATCAAGATTAATTAGTAAAAACATCCTTTAACTCACTTGTTTATATCAACTTTTGTCAATAAGAAGTGTCAATATAGATATCCGATGACAATTTTTAGAAATAATGTTTCCTGTAAACATTTTTCAGAACCAGGTGTCAATGAAAATCGATTAAATTTATCCTGAAGGCTCTCTGATAGGGAAAAAAATTGAATGCAGTGACATTTCGGGACAATAAATCATCTGATTCTCACTACATATTATATTGAAATGATACTCGTTCACTTCCTTATACAGGGTGTATCTAAATAGCACCGAAAAAATTCAAGTGGTGTTTCCTTGTGATATTCCAGCAAATAAAGTTCATATAAACATGGTGTTCTACCTTGCTCCGTTTTTGAGATACTGGATGTTGAAGTTGGAAGTATTAATTGTTTTTATTGATAACCCCCCTGTATGAGCTTTCATGGTGCCAAAATTCAGTATGGATGGAGACTCAGAAAGCCCCAAAATTGGGGCTATTGAGTAATCTTAAAGAAGGTCTTGAAAACACCTTTATTAAAATTTGGAGTCAAATCGAATTTTTATTGTTTCCTCAAAAACTAAGCTAGATACACAAATCACACAAAGGATAAAAAAGTTGTTATTTCTATAGTTCAATCTAATAAAGATATGAAACTTAGAAAAACCGGTGGCGTACAATGACAATCACCATGAATATCGAAAAATTTACCAACTGTGACGTCACTGGAAATATTCTTTCGAAACTATTTGCACTAGAAGAAGCTCTATATCACTATTGACAAAACCACAATGTTTCATTGATATTGATGAAAAGACAATTGAGAAATGAATAGAAAAAGGATTTTTCATAGAAATATTAATACCCTGTATCTCGAAAACGAAGTAAGTTAGGACTAATGTTTATATGAACTTTATTGCCTGAAATATCACAAGGAATAGATACACCCTGTAGAAACGAGGAGAGAAAATCCCAAAAATTCCAGAGCATAGAGCAGAGTATGTATCCAAATGCCTCTATTTTTAGGAGCTCGTATTTCCAGAAGTAGAAATAAAATAGGAATGCGTAGAAACCGTAAAAGAAAGCGATAAAAGCCGTATAAAAATGGCATATCGTGCATTTAGTATATCTAATAATATCGAACAATGGCTGGGAATGTATTTTATTGATATAACTGGTTTTACGATTGTATAATCAATCACGATAAAAGTGATTTTCTATAATTGGATTGGGAAATATCGTTGGATAGTACACGCATTCGATAAATATTTAGAGAAAACAAATGAAAATTGCATAACAGTGCAACAACAACAGAGTTTTCCACTATTTCGGAGCTATTTCACCCCTCTTAGGGGTCTAGACCGGAATGATTTTCGGTTCTGACAATAAATAAATCATAATATCAGAAAATCATTAAAAAGGTTGGAGATCACTGTGAGCTATATCCTTCTTCCCTTTGAAACATTCCACTCCACTTTGGGCAAATATGGAATTCCATCAGAGATTGAATATGTACCTTTCCAAAGACTTGCCTGCCCTCTCTTACCTTGAGATACGACCAATTGACCAGCACAGCGATGGACATCGCAGCAGGCCTAGGCCCTTGAGGAAACAGCCCTGTCATGATTCAAATCGAAAAATTGCCTACGATAATTTTCCCTAGGGCAATTTTGTTCGTTCAATTTTCAGGCGACAATATTCTCATTGAAATGTCAAAATTACTTCGACAATGAAACGCTCTCCCATAATAGTTATTTGTGCATAATAGTGCGTTAATATAGGCTTTGTTACTAATTCCATACGCCACTTCGGGAGCAGCACTGTTAATTGGAACGCAACAGCGAATCGTGCGGAATCATCGCTGGCCAGGAATACGAAAATTAGAGTTTATAATTCGTTTTATAAATACAAATTCTCTGCTCTGCCAGAAATCGAACCTAGCAACTCTTCGGCGCTATGATTGCTTTTTGCATTCGCATTCAAATATCCTGAAAGTCATCAAATTCGGCCATGAAAAAATAGGCAATGCGTCTGACTCATCAAATAGGTATGACAGAAATTCGGTAGTAAATTGGAGAAACCGATATTTGTCCTCGTTCATCGTTCGTATAGGTAAATAAATTCCGCACACACACATCATAAATAGAGGTGTAGTGGCTCAGTAGGAAAATCGATTCGATTTGTAACCAAGATGAACCAAGTGATAGCGGAGGACCTCGGTTCGAATCCCGTTGCGGTCGTCTCTCTTTTTTTTTAATTGAATGTATCGGCAGATATGTACTGGCCCTGATGATGGCCAGAGTCTCCTATTATTGCGACTGGCCCATCAATCTTCACAGGAATTTTGCTGTTCTGGCCAATTCTGGCCAGCATAAGACCGACCAAAATTATTTGCTGGGAAGTGCAAGACTTATTGCCAGTCGAATCTATCAATTATTCCCGAATGGCAATATTAATTTCACAACAAGCTTGATGAATTGACACAAAAATCTTGCAATTATAATTTCTAACGAGCAAAAATATTTTTCGTTATTGGATGTATGGAAAATTGAAGTATTTTCTATCTTGAACGAGAGAGGGGAAAGTTCTCTCCTCTTCCATTTCTCTCTGCAATGCTACCAACGTGACCGCATTGGAATATAGAGAGGTCCGATAAATCTTTCCTTGTCTAACATCTACTTTGTGCCGCTGAACTATATTTCAATTCAGCAGAGTGACAAATTTAACGATATTAACAAATTATGTCAAAATAGGTATGATATAAATCAAAATTTCATTCTGAAACTCGAAATGTCATCAGTCAATGACATTCATGACATAGACATATCACGTCATTATAATATCGAAAATAGTTCAGTGGCGCAGACTAGAGGTTAGACAAGGAAAGATTTATCGGACCTCTCTATATTTCAATGCGGCCACGTTGGTAGCATTGCAGAGAGAGATGGAAGACGAGAGAATTTTTGTATCTCTCGTTCAAGATAGAAAAGAGTTCAATTGATATTCATCATACAGGACGTGGAAAGATATTCTGAATTGAGAAAATCTAATCACGAATCTGCGATTGAGGTCTATAAAAAAAAACAAGTTTACATCGTTCAAGTTTGAACCCCTTGATTGGGTGAAAGTATTGAAAAGGACTTTTCTGATCAGATATAATTATGAACACAAAAAATGGATATACAGTGTCTTTCAAAAGTATCGGAACGGTCTCATATTTCAGGAACGGCTTGAGAAAAAATTCACGAAATTTTCTACAGGGTGATTATTGATGATGTCCGATTCAATGGTGGCATCGGCAATGTTGCCAAGTTTACAGTTTTTCAGATATTAGGAGTAACTTTATTTTTTCAAATGGAATACCCCATTTATTTTTATAGCAATTAATTAAGCGCCTCCTAATTCCTTGAGTCCCTGAATATCAGATTCGTAATTAACGTGATTTTCGAAATATGACAACATAACATTTTCGTTAAAAAGTTCTGGAACGGTCCCATATTTCAGAAACGGCTCAGAGAAAATCTATGAAAACTTCGACAGGATGGTTGTTGATGATGCCCGATTCAATGGTGATATCGGCAATGTTGCCAAATCAACAGTTTCTCAGATATTTAGGGTAACTCAATTTTTTCAAATGGAATACCCTATTTGTTTTCATTGCAATACATTCAGCGACGCCTCATTACTTTATGTCTCCAAATATCAGATTTCAAATTGATATTGAACCGTATTGAAAATATTAGAAGGTTCCCAGACTTTTGAACGAAAATGCTATGTTGTCATATTTTGAAAATCACGTTAAATACGAATCTGATATTCAGGGACTCAAGTAATTAGGAGGCGCTTAATTAATTGCAATAAAAATAAACGGGGTATTCCATTTGAAAAAATAAAGTTACTCCTAATATTTGAAAAACTGTAAACTTGGCAATATTGCCGATGCCACCATTGAATCGGACATCATCAATAATCACCCTGTAGAAATTTTCGTGAATTTTTCTCAAGCCGTTCCTGAAATATGAGACCGTTCCGATACTTTTGAAAGACACTGTATATATATAACATATATAGCAATACATTGGGAATTCGCATTCTCCATGTGATAAAATATTAATTCTTTCTCGCGGTTTATTCAACAGAAAACAACTACTTTTCTGGCTATATGCCACGACGAACATTGAATTATATCTATTGAACACACACGATGAGAACAATACTGATGTATTGTGGTTACAGAAAGAATGTGGAATAATCTTTTTGTAGAAAGTCAAGAAGGGGTCTTTCCTCTCTTGAAATTTAACTGAAGAACTGCGCTTAGTTTGCCCCCTCGCCACCAGAAATACGATGCGCGCACCTCTCCTATAATCCGCCACTGGAATTTAGCATTCTCTCTTACCTTGAGATGTGGAAATCCGATGCCGACCACGAAATTCGACGTCCAATTGACCAGCACCGCGATGGACATCGCAGCAGGCCTGGGCCCTTGCGAGAACAGCTCCGCCGTGATCATCCAAGGGATGCTTCCGGGACCCATGGCGAAGAACTGGACGAAGAGCAGCACCGACACCACCGACAGATAGGACATCCAGTCGATCATCTCCTGCACATAGCCGAAGAACTCCTATCAGGCGATGGAGGGGGTGTTCTTTCCCGGACGGGGAGGAGGTACCGCTAATTCGGGGTGGTGGGGTGGTTGAAAGGGATGGGGTGTTTCCAGGGAGGTCGGTTTTCATGTGCTTGATTGGTTGGGAGCAGATGAGAACGATTTTACTTATGCTCAGACGTATCCCACAATTTGATAGAATCCCATTTGTAAGATTTCCACAAATTTCTTGAACACAGTAGCTTCGTCAGGTGATATACTGGTACAATGAGTTGTTCATTCATAGTTCATTGTACCAGTATATCACCTGACGAAGCTACTGTGTTAGCGAAAACATGAGAAATTCGTGGAAATCTTATCGTTTGTGAAGTTTTTACGATTGCCATGAATTTCTATCAAGTAACGGCTGAGTCAAAACAAAAAAGAATCCTACTTTTTAGTAAAATTTCATTCCACAAGCGAATCTTGACAGTCCTAATTCATAAGAAAATTCCACTTCTGGAATGATATACACATCATACAATCCCACTTACTTCCACTGTTCAATTAAACGAATCCCACTTCTGAAATGATTTCCACTGCTTGGACGTATCTCAGTATCCAATATAGATTCCCACTTTTTAGGAGAAATGTATTTCTCAAGTGAATCTTAAGAGTCCTAATTCATAAGGAAATTCCACTTTTGCAACAACATACAATCCCACTTACTCCCACTTCTAACGAATCCCACACCTGAAATGATTTCCACTTCTTGTACGTATCCCAATATTCAATAGAATCCCACTTATTGGAGGAAATATTTTTCTTGAACAAATCTTACTTGCCCAAACAAATTCCACCCTCCAAACGTGTCCTAATTCATGAGAAAAACTCACTTCCTAATTTATTTACACGTTAGAAACGACATACACCCATCATACAATCCCACTTACTTCCACTTCCCAAACGAATACTCATTTCATACAATTCCACTTCCATCCAGTTTTCACATAAATCCCACTTCTGAAATGATTCCCACTGCTTGAACGTATCCCAATATTCTAAAAAAAACCATTTTCTCAAGCGAATCTTACTTGTTCAGACAAATCCCACCCCTTGAACGAGTCACAATTCTTGGGAAAATCCCACTTCCTAATTGATTCATACGTCTGAATCGACATATACATCTCATACAATCCCAAATCCTTCTACTTCTCAGACGAATCCCACTTCTGAAATGATTCCCAGTGCTTGATTGTAACCCAATATTTAATAAAATCCCACTAACTGAATGAGTCACATCTCTCAAACGAATATTAATTGCACAAAAAATCCTATCCCTCAAACGAGTGATGGTTCTTCGAAATATGCTACTTCCTAATTGATTCACACGTCTGAAATAACATACAATCCCACTTATTTCCACTTCTCAAACGAATCCCACTTCTGAATTGATTCTCACTTTTCGAACGTATCCCACTTACTCAAACAAATCCCTCCTCTCTAAAGAATCATTATACTCAAGCAAATCCCACTTCCTAATGAATTTTCTTGTTTGAAACGACATACAAATCTTGAATCCCACTTACTTCCACTTCTTAAAAAAGGCACACTTCTGACACGATTCCCACTTCAGAATAAATGATCCCCACTTCTGAAAAATTCCCACTTTTGAACAGATTCCAACTTCCTGAACGTAGTCCACCATTTAAAAAAAATCAGTGCTCCAAAATATTCTGATTCGTCAACGAATCCCATTCACTCACATCAATTCCTCCTCTCTAACGTATCTTAACTATTGAGCAAATCCCACTTTCCGATAGATTTTCACGTCTGGACGATATACACATCTCATAGAATCCCAACTACTCCTACTTCTCAAACGAATCCCACTTATGAAACAATTCCCAATTATAAAAATATATCATTTTCTAGTCCCACATTCAAAATTAATCTCTTTTTGATTCAATCGAATGAATAAATTCCACTCACTATATCACTTCTGAATGAATAAATCTTCTTGAATGAATGTCAGTTCTTAAAAGAATCGCACTTCCCAAATTGATTCGACTCATGAATAAATCCCACTTCTGACATAAATCCCACTTCTGAAAAATCAGAGTTAATCCATATATCTGTCTCGCAATACAGTAAATATCGTTATTGTCTATACATATTTGAAATGATAGTGACAATCAACCTTCACAATTTATCTTCGTTACAAAAAAACAAGTGATGTTTCTAGTAAAGGTCCTGAATGCACATGAAAACCGATTGTTACCAAATTGTGTGAATCACCGAACTCTATGCACGACAGGGACAAGCCACTAAAATCAATGACACAAAATCAAACGACATCAAATCTGGTGACCTGGCAGGCCATCTCTACAAATCAGCACAGAGTTCAATTGATTTCATCACGCAAACGTCACATATAGGCAACCAACAATACCCCGAGAGTGTGTTGTGTGTGGCATGCGTGAAAGGTTGAGACGATACGACGAAAACGGCACTGAATTCCATAACCTGACGGCTGCGCATCAACTAATGGGCTGACGCCATGCTAAACCTTTGATTATTTTCACTAACAAAATGATCCAAGTCCATGTGAAATGTTGAAGCCAAATTTGGCCTTGGTTTTTGGACGGTTTTGCAAAATATGGTCGATTTGTCCATACTTTCGGAATCTGCTTGGGTTCATCTATCTGCGAGTTGCTGAACAATATCTAGGAATATACTTCTTTGTGAAGCAGGAAAATCACCGACTTTTGATATTCTGATGAGTTTTGAATAATTCAAACATTTTTATCCAACCCATAGAATCATCTAGAAATAAACTTCGTATATATTCTGCACTAGCTGACCCAGCTAACGTTGTTTTGATATAAACATTATTTCAAGAAAATATTTTTTCATTTAAATATTCATCAACACACTTTTATTATTTTATTTTCTACTTCTTTTTCGCTCGGCGATCTATCTCTTTAATTTTTTAAACTACTATTAATTTTCTACTTCCTTATAGTTTGGATGTCCATGAAAGAGTATTTCTTTAGTTTTTCTATTTATCACAACGCTCATCGATCGCCATATTGGATTCCCAATTTTGACAAAAAATCTACGACGTCTTGAATTTCCGATTTCTGATGAATGAATCATAATTTTCAACTCCGAAAACACCCAGATACCAATTTTGAATAGAATCGGTTTATTATTACAAAACTCGTTCGCCATATTGGATCTGCCATCTCAAATTTCCTGATTCCAAGAAATGAATCATAATCTCCGACCCCTGAAACCCCCAGATGCCAATTTTTAATGAAACCAGTCCATATAATTACAAAACTCGTCCGCTATATCATATCCGCCATCTTGAATTTCCAAATTTTAACAAAATAATCATAGTTTCCGACCCCGAAATGAAGGTATGCATCATACTTTTCAACAGAATTAGATCATAATTACGAATATCGTCCGCCATATTGGATCTGCCATCTTGAATATCCAAATTTTGACGAGCAGCATTTTGCATAGCATCGGATCATAATTCCAAACCAAAACCCGTTTGTCATATCGAATCTGCCATCTTCAATTCTCAAATTTTGAAGAGAGAATCATAATTTCCGATCCCGAAAACTCCAGATACAGATTTTGAACAGATTCAGAAATTACAAAACTTGTCCGCGTCATATTGGATCCACCATCTTGAATTCACCAATTTGGACAAAAGAATCATAATATCCGACCTGTAAAACCCCCAGATAACAATTTTGAATAGAATCGGATCATAATAATTACAAAACTCGTCAGCCATATTGGATCCGCCATCTTAATTTTCGAAATTTTGATGAGAGAATCACAATCTCTGATCCCAAAAGCTCGCAGATACAGATTTTGAATAGATTCGGATCATAATTACTAAACTCGTCCGCCATATTGGATCCGCCATCTTGAATTTTCAATTTCCATACGAACCGGTCAAGCCGTTTCATAGGAGTTCGGCAACAAACACCGTGACATGAGAATTTTATACAAGACATTATTAAGTATTCCTAAATTTTCTAATTTTTCGCTCAATTTTCAATTTTTTTTTTCATAAGAACCTTCTTCTGACAATAACAAACACAACAGAAAAAAAAACTAGTGAAATCAGTCTAGCCGTTCACTCCTGATGGTGTGACCAAGGGAAATAGGGGTTCATTTTTATATACAGGGTAGGGTGTCTCTGAATGGTATGTACAAAATCTCGTCACATATTCCGATGGTCGAAATGAGCCGATTCAAAGCAATTCAGCTCAGTAAGAACTTGCTTCGCTTTCCGAGATACAGGGTGGTAAAGTTGAAGAATGAAAAACGAATTTCTCAGAATTTATGGACATTTCTGAACGTAGCACTCCTAAAATTGACATCAAAGTGTTTTTTGGGATGAGAATCACAAAAACGGACACCTTTTCACTAGGGCCATTAGAGGACGCCTACCAATGGACTTCTTATGTGTTTAGAATGGCCATTACTTTTTTCTCAGTGTAGTTTCTTAGATTATTTGTTGGGATAATAATTTTTTGAACATTTCCAAGCGAAAAAGATACTCTTTTGAAAATTCGCTGATGGACCTGAGCCGATTTCGGAATATTCCGATGTTTAGTGTTCGATGCAGCACTGGAATATTTGAATTATTTCGAATACAAAATGTTTAATCTTATGTAGAAGTCCATACTTTTCTGTAAGTGAAGTTTAGTGATAAAAAGGTTGGAAAACACGTTGTGGAGATGATTTTGTGTTCTCTAACCCTTTTGAAAAATGTTTGCTGTTATCTTCGTGGATGTAATTCGATCAGTGAATTAGCAGTCGATGGATTTCTCTTTTTTATCTTCACCACAGCCTATTTCAGAAACGGATCAATTTCGAATTGAGGGAAGTTGCTTCAAATCAGCTTATTTTTACCTCAGGTATATGTGCTAAGATTTTGTACAGACCTTTTAGGGACACCCCACCCCGTATATATTCAGCCGATCTCTACCCTTCGCTACTCAACAAAAAGTAGTTGACCTTGTCGCTCATATATACCGCCCCACTACTGAATAGAATTTCTGGCTTCATAGCTCTCATAAGGATGGTTCATTTTCTTAATGTAAATAATCAAGGACACAACTGAACTTCCTAACCTAACCTCGGACTTCGGTGCTGTTTTCGACGTATTTTCGATGCTGAGCTGCTTGAGTGGGTTCTCGTAAGGCAAGCACAGATCAACAATCCTTATTTGTTTATCTGTGGCATTAGGCGACAGCGGGAACGATATGTACAGAGCGATCCTCCTCCACCGTGTCAGGAAAGTCGAAAGACAGACAGGGGAAGGAATAAGAAGCGGGGATGATGATGGAGACGTACAGGGTGAGGACGATTCAAGAGAGAGTGTCATAGATGTCATTTATGAGCTGATTTTTGAATGGGAAGAACTGAGAGATCGATTAGAGTTTTGAAACAAAAATGAGGATCTGTAAATATGCGAAATTGATCTTTAATAGAAGTCAATGGTTCCTCAAAAAATGAATATAATTTTTTCCTAGCATTTTTTTCGAACTGCAATTCCCAAAATCATTTGAAATTTTTTGTGAATTGATTATGATGATCTTCAATAATGTTCATACTTCCTTGAATCGACCAAGACCCTGTACATGGATGATGCGAAATTCAAACATAAAACACGTAAATGAGTTCATAGAATTGATCAGTAGGAAAATCCATTCTACTATGAAATATTTCTCCTTCAAAAAGCATATATTGAAAAAATAGTGAAAAGGCTCGGAAGATTTTCCTACCAAACTGATATTTCGAAAAAGATGGATTTTCACTGAAAGGAATGATTTTTTTATGAAAACACAAATGAAAATCTATTTTTAAGCGATACGTGATGTGAAGCGAACAAAAAATAAGCATGCAAAGGGGTATTTCTTAAATCTAGGACTACACACTACATATGTATGATAAATTAGTATACAGGGTGTCTCCAGAATTTGAAATTTTTTTCTTCAGCAGTTAGACTTGAGTACCTACCTTTCAAAAATAAGTATATTTTCCATATTGATATGGAGACACCTTCTATAAACTTAATCACTACCATCACCATTAAATTACCTTTCCCTATAAATTATTTGTTGAATATCAGAGAACCAATAAGACTGCAGATTGCTGTTTGAGGCTTTACTTTTTACCAAATAATTAAACAAAATGATATTTTTGGTTTCTTTACGAACCCAAAATACTCATCAGTGTTATTTTGACACTTAACGGTGTTACATCTACACTCAACGATGTAATATTGACGCGAAGCGGTGTAATTTTACTCTTGATCTATTTCACGCTCAAAAGTTTGCCCTCATCTGTCAATGGTGTAATTTTCACACTCAATAACATATTTTTCATATTCGATGGTTCAATTTCATCATTCAAAATGGAATTTTTGATAATGTCCTGATTCTTGAATTCGAATATGTTATTTTTTTGGTGAAGTGTCAACGATTTATGGTGTTATCTTCACAGTCAAAGTTGTGAGACGATAATCAATGATGTAATTTTGAACCCTAGCAGTGAATAGTGTAATTTAATTCCACATGAGGTGATTTTCAAATTCAATAGCCTACTTCTCACACTAAATGGTTCATTTAACCTGTAATGGTATGGCTTTGAGCATCAATGTGTTGAGATTTTTACAGAAGATGGTGTAATTTCCACACCCTCAGTTGTGTTGTATCCACACTAGACGATGTTATAGCTTTGAGCCCCAGTGTGTTGTTTTTTACACTAGATGGTGTAGTTTCCACACCCTTAGTGGAATTATATCCACACTAGACGATGTGATTTCACTCCAAATGGTGCGATACCAACTTTTCCATCAAAAACTCGTGAATAGCCAACAGAAGGAAACCAAGAATAAGCATTAAACATTTTAGATACCGCTTCCCATAGCTACCCAGACGCCCGAAAAGCTTTGATGTTCACCGTCCACTTGCCAACGCACCTTGATCAGGAAACTAATGGTGATGAAGATAGAGAAGATGAACATGCCACCGAGGCCGTACAGGTGCAAGCTGCGTCTGCCCATGCGATCCATCAACGGTATCGAGATGAGCGTCATAATCAGCATGATACAGCCGATGCCGATAGTCGCGAATTTGGCGCTCTCCTCCGGCAGACCAGACGACACGAACAGGCTGGTCGAGTAGTAGAACACCTAAAACACAAGATAGTGGTTTTAACACCTGGTGTGATTTTTACACCATGTGGTGTAGTTTTACACAAAGTGGTGTAATATTACACCAGGTGGTGTGAATTTTACACCGAGTCTTGAAAGTCGAAGGAATCGTACCGCATTGATGCCAGAAAACTGTTGGCTGAGCTGCATGACGATACCGATGATGAGGGGCGCTCGGAGGGTGGGCGAACAGATCAGCTCCGACATGCCGATGGAGGCCTCCGCACGTTGGGCCCGCTCCTCGGCCCGCATCTCTTCGATGTCCTCGTCAACGGTATGCGAGGCTCGGAGGCGTCGGAGCGCTTTGCGTGCCTCCTCCTCCCACTGCTTGGTGATGAGGAGGTAGCGCGGGCTTTCCGGACACACGGGCAGCAAGACCTTGAAAAAGGGAGAGAATATTTTTAGTTGCACAATGATCTTTTGAGATATTGCTTCAAATTTGATTTCGTGACCTATGTATAGCCGTTCTTTTACCTAGAAAATTCAATGGTGAGAACAGAATTGAGCTTTCATTGCTCTGGGAAAAGTATGTTTTTATTCCTGGGATTCTGATCGATTTCCTTAACTGACATCGTTTGTTCGTCATCTGTCGAGATATCGTTCACATTTTGATTCCGCGACCTAATAAGATGGTTTTACGACCCAAAAAAATCAATGGCGACAACAGAATTGAGCAGTCGTTGCTCTGAAAGGAGTTTGGATTCTTTTATAGGACCTATACTAACCAATATCCTCAACTGACATCTGAATGTTGGACATCTGTCGAGATGTCACATCCATTTTGATTTCTAAGACCTACTAATCAATTCTCATAACTGACATCTGAATGTTTGACATCTGTCGAGATATCGCTTTCATTTTGATTTCGTGACCTAATTAGGCGGTTTTTCGACCCAAAAAAATCAATGGTGAAAACAGAATTGAGCTATCTTTGCTCTGAAAAAAGTTTGAATTTTCTTCTAGGACCTACTCATTAGTTCTCATAACTGACATCTGAATGTTTGTCATCTGTCGAGATATCGCTTTCATTTTGATTTCGTGACCTAATTAGGCGGTTTTTCGACCCAAAAAAATCAATGATGGGAACAGAATTGAGCTATCTTTGCTCTAGAAAAAGTTGGGATTTTTTTCTAGGACCTACTAATCAATTCTCATAACTGACACCTGAATGTTTGACATCTGTCGAGATATCGCTTTCATTTTGATTTCGTGACCTAATTAGGCGGTTTTTCGACCCAAAAAAATCAATGGTGGAAACAGAATTGAGCTATCTTTGCTCTGGAAAAAGTTGGGATTTTTTTCTAGGACCTACTAATCAATTCTCATAACTGACACCTGAATGTTTGACATCTGTCGAGATATCGCTTTCATTTTGATTTCGTGACCTAATTAGGCGGTTTTTCGACCCAAAAAAATCAATGGTGAAAACAGAATTGAGCTATCTTTGCTCTGAAAAAAGTTTGAATTTTCTTCTAGGACCTACTCATTAGTTCTCATAACTGACATCTGAATGTTTGACATCTGTCGAGATATCGCTTTCATTTTGATTTCGTGACCTAAGTAGGCGGTTTTTCGACCCAAAATAATCAATGGTGAAAACAGAATTGAGCTATCTTTGCTCTGAAAAAAGTTTGAATTTTCTTCTAGGACCTACTAATCAATTCTCATAACTGACATCTGAATGTTTGTCATCTGTCGAGATATCGCTTTCATTTTGATTTCGTGACCTAATTAGGCGGTTTTTCGACCCAAAAAAATCAATGGTGAAAACAGAATTGAGCTATCTTTGCTCTGAAAAAAGTTTGAATTTTTTTCTAGGACCTACTAATCAATTCTCATAACTGACATCTGAATGTTTGACATCTGTCGAGATATCGCTTTCATTTTGATTTCGTGACCTAATTAGGCGGTTTTTCGACCCAAAAAAATCAATGGTGAAAACAGAATTGAGCTATCTTTGCTCTGAAAAAAGTTTGAATTTTCTTCTAGGACCTACTAATCAATTCTCATAACTGACATCTGAATGTTTGTCATCTGTCGAGATATCGCTTTCATTTTGATTTCGTGACCTAATTAGGCGTTTTTTTGACCCAAAAAAATCAATGGTGAAAACAGAATTGAGCTATCTCTGCTCTGAAAAAAGTTTGAATTTTTTTCTAGGACCTACTAATCAATTCTCATAACTGACATCTGAATGTTTGTCATTTGTCGAGATATCGCTTTCATTTTGATTTCGTGACCTAAGTAGGCGGTTTTTCGACCCAAAAAAATCAATGGTGAAAACAGAATTGAGCTATCTTTGCTCTGAAAAAAGGTTGATTTTTTTCTAGGACCTACTCATTAATTCTCATAACTGACATCTGAATGTTTGACATCTGTCGAGATATCGCTTTCATTTTGATTTCGTGACCTGAGTAGGCGGTTTTTCGACCCAAAATAATCAATGGTGAAAACAGAATTGAGCTATCTCTGCTCTGAAAAAAGTTTGAATTTTTTTCTAGGACCTACTAATCAATTCTCATAACTGACATCTGAATGTTTTTCATCTGTCGAGATATCGCTTTCATTTTGATTTCGTGACCTAATTAGGCGGTTTTTCGACCCAAAAAAATCAATGGTGAAAACAGAATTGAGCTATCTTTGCTATGAAAAAAGTTTGAATTTTTTTCTAGGACCTAGGCGGTTTTTCGACCCAAAAAAATCAATGGTGAAAACAAAATTGAGCTATCTTTGCTCTGAAAAAAGTTTGATTTTTTTTCTAAGACCTATACTCATTAATTCTCATAACTGACATCTGAATGTTTGTCATCTGTCGAGATATCGCTTTCATTTTGATTTCGTGACCTAATTAGGCGGTTTTTCGACCCAAAAAAATCAATGGTGAAAACAGAATTGAGCTATCTTTGCTCTGAAAAAAGTTTGAATTTTTTTCTAGGACCTACTAATCAATTCTCATAACTGACATCTGAATGTTTGTCATTTGTCGAGATATCGCTTCCATTTTGATTTCTTGACTTAATTAGGCGTTTTTTCGACCCAAAAAAATCAATGGTGAAAACAGAATTGAGCTATCTTTGCTCTGAAAAAAGTTTGAATTTTTTTCTAGGACCTACTAATCAATTCTCATAACTGACATCTGAATGTTTGTCATCTGTCGAGATATCGCTTCCATTTTGATTTCGTGACCTAATTAGGCGGTTTTTCGACCCAAAAAAATCAATGGTGAAAACAGAATTGAGTTATCTTTGCTCTGAAAAAAGTTTGAATTTTTTTCTAGGACCTACTAATCAATTCTCATAACTGACATCTGTATGTTTGTCATTTGTCGAGATATCGCTTTCATTTTGATTTCGTGACCTAATTAGGCGGTTTTTCGACCCAAAAAAATCGATGGTGAAAACAGAATTGAGCTATATCTGCTCTGAAAAAAGTTTGAATTTTTTTCTAGGACCTACTAATCAATTCTCATAACTGACATCTGTATGTTTGTCAAATGTCGAGATATCGCTTCCATTTTGATTTTGTGACCTAATTAGGCGGTTTTTCGACCCAAAAAAATCAATGGTGAAAACAGAATTGAGCTATCTCTGCTCTGAAAAAAGTTTGAATTTTTTACTAGGGCCTTTTAATCAATTTCCTTAACTGACATCTGAATGTTCGTCATCTGTCGAGATATCGCTTTCATTTTGATTTTGTGACCTAAATAGGCGGTTTTTCGACCCAAAAAAATCAATGGTGAAAACAGAATTGAGCTATCTCTGCTCTGAAAAAAGTTTGAATTTTTTTCTAGGACCTTTTAATCAATTTCCTTAACTGACATCTGAATGTTCGTCATCTGTCGAGATATCGCTTCCATTTTGATTTTGTGACCTAATTAGGCGGTTTTTCGACCCAAAAAAATCAATGGTGAAAACAGAATTGAGCTATCTTTGCTCTGAAAAAAGTTTGAATTTTTTCCTAGGACCTACAAATCAATTCTCATAACTGACATCTGAATGTTTGTCATCTGTCGAGATATCGCTTCCATTTTGATTTTGCGACCTAATTAGGCGGTTTTTCGACCCAAAAAAGTCAATGGTGAAAACAGAATTGAGGTATCTTTGCTCTGAAAAGAGTTTGAATTTTTTCCTAGGACCTACTAATCAATTCTCATAACTGACATCTGAATGTTCGTCATCTGTCGAGATATCGCTTCCAATTTGATTTTGCGACCTAATCAGGCGGTTTTTCGACCCAAAAAAATCAATGGTGAAAACAGAATTGAGCTATCTTTGCTCTGAAAAGAGTTTGAATTTTTTCCTAGGACCTACTAATCAATTCTCATAACTGACATCTGTATGTTTGTCATTTGTCGAGATATCGCTTTCATTTTGATTTCGTGACCTAATTAGGCGGTTTTTCGACCCAAAAAAATCGATGGTGAAAACAGAATTGAGCTATATCTGCTCTGAAAAAAGTTTGAATTTTTTTCTAGGACCTACTAATCAATTCTCATAACTGACATCTGAATGTTTGTCAGCTGTCGAGATATCGCTTCCATTTTGATTTCGTGACCTAAATAGGCGGTTTTTCGACCCAAAAAAATCAATGGTGAAAACAGAATTGAGCTATCTTTGCTCTGAAAAAAGTTTGAATTTTTTTCTAGGACCTACTAATCAAGTCTCATAACTGACATCTGAATGTTTGTCATCTGTCGAGATATCGCTTTCATTTTGATTTCGTGACCTAATTAGGCGGTTTTTCGACCCAAAAAAATCAATGGTGTAAACTGAATTGAGCTATCGCTGCTCTGAAAAAAGTTTGAAATTTTTCCTAGGACCTACTAATCAATTCTCATAACTGACATCTGAATGTTTGTCAGCTGTCGAGATATCGCTTCCATTTTGATTTCGTGACCTAAATAGGCGGTTTTTCGACCCAAAAAAATCAATGGTGAAAACAGAATTGAGCTATATCTGCTCTGAAAAAAGTTTGAATTTTTTTCTAGGACCTACTAATCAATTCTCATAACTGACATCTGAATGTTTGTCAGCTGTCGAGATATCGCTTCCATTTTGATTTCGTGACCTAAATAGGCGGTTTTTCGACCCAAAAAAATCAATGGTGAAAACAGAATTGAGCTATCTTTGCTCTGAAAAAAGTTTGAATTTTTTCCTAGGACCTACTAATCAAGTCTCATAACTGACATCTGAATGTTTGTCATCTGTCGAGATATCGCTTTCATTTTGATTTCGTGACCTAATTAGGCGGTTTTTCGACCCAAAAAAATCAATGGTGTAAACTGAATTGAGCTATCGCTGCTCTGAAAAAAGTTTGAATTTTTTCCTAGGACCTACTAATCAATTCTCATAACTGACATCTGAATGTTTGTCATCTGTCGAGATATCGCTTTCATTTTGATTTCGTGACCTAAATAGGCGGTTTTTCGGCCCAAAAAAATCAATGGTGAAAACAGAATTGAGCTATCTTTGCTCTGAAAAAAGTTTGAATTTTTTTCTAGGACCTACTAATCAATTCTCATAACTGACATCTGAATGTTTGTCATTTGTCGAGATATCGCTTTCATTTTGATTTCGTGACCTAATTAGGCGGTTTTTCGACCCAAAAAAATCAATGGTGAAAACAGAATTGAGCTATCTCTGCTCTGAAAAAAGTTTGAATTTTTTTCTAGGACCTACTAATCAATTCTCATAACTGACATCTGAATGTTTGTCATCTGTCGAGATATCGCTTTCATTTTGATTTCGTGACCTAATTAGGAGGTTTTTCGACCCAAAAAAATCAATGGTGAAAACAGAATTGAGCTATCTTTGCTATGAAAAAAGTTTGAATTTTTTTCTAGGACCTACTAATCAATTCTCATAACTGACATCTGAATGTTTGTCATCTGTCGAGATATCGCTTTCATTTTGATTTCTTGACCTAATTAGGCGGTTTTTCGACCCAAAAAAATCAATGGTGAAAACAGAATTGAGCTATCTTTGCTCTGAAAAAAGTTTGAATTTTTTTCTAGGACCTACTAATCAATTCTCATAACTGACATCTGAATGTTTGTCATCTGTCGAGATATCGCTTTCATTTTGATTTCGTGACCTAATCAGGCGGTTTTTCGACCCAAAAAAATCAATGGTGAAAACAGAATTGGGCTATCTTTGCTATGAAAAAAGTTTGAATTTTTTTCTAGGACCTACTAATCAATTCTCATAACTGACATCTGAATGTTTGTCATCTGTCGAGATATCGCTTTCATTTTGATTTCGTGACCTAATTAGGCGGTTATTCGACCCAAAAAAATCAATGGTGGAAACAGAATTGAGCTATCTTTGCTCTGGAAAAAGTTTGAATTTTTTTCTAGGACCTACTAATCAATTCTCATAACTGACATCTGAATGTTTGACATCTGTCGAGATATCGCTTTCATTTTGATTTCGTGACCTAATTAGGCGGTTTTTCGACCCAAAAAAATCAATGGTGAAAACAGAATTGAGCTATCGCTGCTCTGAAAAAAGTTAGGGTTTTCAACTAGGACCTACTGATCAAGGACTTGAACTGAAATCTGAATGTTCCTCATCTGTCGAGACAACGCTTCCACTTTGATTTTTCGACCCGAAAGAGTCAATGGTGGAATAAGAATCGAGCTATCTATGCTCTGCAAAAAGTACGGAATTTTCCCATAAAATCACGTCCAAATGAGAAAGTAAGCGTAAGGTACTTACTAATTGCAAAATGGCAGGTACTACGGCTAAACCGAGAAGAAGCGGCCATCCTTCGTTGGTTCCTAGAATTTGTTCGATGCCTAAAATTTGGGAAAGAAGAAGGCCCGAGGTGACGGCCAGCTGGTTCACCGTACCCAAACCACCTCGTAAATTCAAAGGCGATATTTCCGATATATACATTGGTACTAAGGAAGTGTTCAACCCTGAAACAAAAAACATAGTGAGTAGAAATTGAAAAAAAATGGCAAATGGATTAGTTTTCATTTTCCCCACGACCTCCGCCAAACTCTTCCGGAGCGATTTGACCGATTCATATGAAAATTTCTGTGTGAGAATCGTTCGTGAGCTATTTTCAGAATTGAAAATTCAAGATGGTGGATCCAATATGGTGGATGAGTTTTGTAATTACGGTCTGATTCTATTCAAAATTGGTATCAATGGGTTTTCGGGGTCGGAGATTATGATTCCTTCGTCAAAATCAGAAAATTCCAAATGGCGGATCCAATATGGTGGATGAGTTATCATTTCATGATCCAATTCTATTCAAAATTGGTATCTGAGGGTTTGATGTTAGAGATATGTAAAGATAAGTGACAGATGTGTACGGGTTAGTGACAGATGACTGTGGATAAGTGACAGATGAGTAAGAATAAGTGACCGATGAGTACGGATAAGTGACAGATAAGTGTGGATGAGTGAGAAATGAGAACATATAGTCACAGAACAGATAGAAATGAGCGAAATGGAGGTTCTTCGTCAAGGATATCTGCAAGGTTTCGACTTAGAGGTCGTTTAGGGGCAATCCGTGATGCTCTAGTTGTGCAAGTGACAAAAGAGTATGGATTAATGACAGCTATGTAAAGATAAGTGACAGATGAGTACCAATAAGTGACAGATGAGTGTGGATAAGTCACAGATGAGTAAGAATAAGTGACAGATGAGTACGGATGAGTGACAGATAAGTGTGGATAGGTGACAAATGAGTACAGATAGTCACAGAACAGATAGAAATGAGCGAAATGTAGGTTTTTTGACGAGTATATATTCGCAAGGTTTCGACTTAGAGGTTTCAGGGGCATTCCGTGATGCTCTAGTTGTGCAAGTGACAAAAGAGTATGGATTGATGACAGATATGTAAAGATAAGTGACAGATGAGTACGGATAAGTGACAGATGAGTGTGGATAAGTCACAGATGAGTAAGAATAAGTGACAGATGAGTACGGATAAGCGACAGAAAAGTGTGGATAAGTGACAAATGAGTACAGATAGTCACAGATCAGATAGAAATGATCGAAATGTAGGTTCTTTGTCAAGTATATTCGCAAGGTTTCGACTTAGAGGTCGTATATAGGGACATTCCGTGATGCTCTAGTTGTGCAAGTGACAAAAGAGTATGGATTAATGACAGATATGTGAAGATCAGTGACAGATGAGAATGGATAAGTGACAGATGAGTGTGGATGAGTGACAGATAAGTGTGGATAAGTGACAAATGAGTACAGATAGTCACAGAACAGATAGAAATGATCGAAATGTAGGTTCTTTGTCAAGTATATTCGCAAGGTTTCGACTTATAGGTCGTATAGGGATATTTCGTGATGCTCTAGTTGTGCAAGGCCGCATCCGAACTCACCACAATTGACCCCTATAATAAATCTGCCGACGAACAGCATTTCGTACGAGTTCGCCATCTTCGTACACCACATTAAACACGCTCCGCTGATTCCCAAGACGTTGTTGAGTAGGAGGCCGCCTTTCCTGGAACAGAGAACACACAAAAAAACGTTACGTTCGAACTGGCGCGATTTATTTTTTCGCATATACAGAGTGACCCAATTTGAAAACGCGCCACCCTCGTGGATATTTTATTTATGAAGCGATTTTCAAGAATACATTATACCGGGCATAGTTTCAGCAGAACCTCGGCAAATTAACTTGAAAATTCTGGAGGAGACATTCTTGCTTGGAAGTCTACGAATATCGCTGAAGGGTATGTACAGCAATCTTACACAAAATAGCAAAATATTCGAACCAAATTATGGGTGACTGAAGTTTTTCAGGAAAATATCACGAAAACTGCATTGGCTCGCCAGATCTCACTTCTAGTGGTATTCAAATAACCACTGCTCAAAACTGCTCTTTTAACATTAGTTTATATAATTATTACTCTACCACAGATTGAAAATATGTAGGATGCAAGAGTGAAAATAACGTGCCCATAAGTTATACTGTATACTGTATACCCACTTCTTTGTTACTTTCATCAATACATTATTTGGAAATGACTCTTTATTTAAGGGAGACGGAAAAATCATATGTATAAACATGGGAGTGAAGTATATACTATTCTTCATTTTCCTGCAATTTCACGTATTACGTTTTATAAGCCTACTTTTCGTCCTAGAATTAGTGCCTCTATAAATTTTTCTCCGAGTTGGATTTCCGAAAATATATTTAGCACACATGACATGAGTACAGTAGTTCACATACCCAAATCGAGGTTTTCACCATTTCTCAATCATAAGTCTCAGCTCATTCAGCTCATAGTTAAACTACTGCTCAGCTTGAAATCAGAATTCATTCAGTCAATTCAATCAACCCTGGTATACAGTCTCTTTTGGTGAAATATATCAAGCTTTTAGTACAAATTATATATTTCCTACCTCGCAAAGATTATGCTGGAGTAGTAAACTTTAAAATTAGAGGATTGTTCAACTATATCTTGGTATAGTTGAATCAGGAATTCCATGTGGAAATTACGCATGATACGCCAATGACCTCAATATAACCTAAAAAACAACAAATGTCAAAAATCTGATAGGTATTTTGAGCCGATACCACTCGATACATCTAGAAATCTCAGAGTAGCTACTCCTTTGATTTGTTTCCACTACGTGTGACCAATATTTTTAAAACAAAAATTGTTTGCCTCAATGTCACTGTGGTAAATTATTTCTTGGTAATGATAAGGGTTCGATCTCTTCACTACATATTGAATGTTAAGTTCTTCCATAATCACGAGATTTTCGGAAAAATATATTTTCAGCCTATGCAAAGTTCTTCCATATCGTTAGTAATTTTCGAAAAAAAAAATAGCACCTGTATACAAAATATCTTCCCCTCCCCCGTTCAATTTTATTATCACCATTAGTCATAGATAAATCACTTTTTGTTCGGAAATTAATCGGTAGCATGATTCAACTTATTAGTCATTCATTCGGGACCAGGTGGTAAATCAAGACAGTCTTATATTAGATGTCATCACATACGGTCGAATTTTGTGATCGACATCGAAAAATACGCGAAAGGAATTATTTATCGTTCCAAACTGAGTGTTCCCTAAAAACTGAGTGATCGTATTGATTCGTATATAGTGTTTTTGTATTTCTCATTCGATTCAATAATAATAATATCGGTATTTTGTGTTGTTCTAGTGTTTCGTGTTGTTTCATCAAAGCATCACTTTTTTCACGCTGGTGAGTGCAGAAAAATTCTCTCAAATTTTCCTCATATTTCTCTGTATTCATTTAACTTCATTACCCTATACAGGGTATGTCACGACGATCTTACACTATCATTAAATGGAGATCCAGTCGGGAGAAATCCATGAAAATGTGCATGCTTATATTTTGGTATACGCTTTTTTCATTTAAGATATGTTCGACAATGCAGTGTTGCCGCTTCTACTAGAAAGTAGTACCAACATTGATATTTCGAACGGAACACCTTGTATTTCATCGCATTTTAAGATTCTCCCTGAAGAGCTGATTTCATCGATGTATCATACTTGGGGTCTATCGAAAATGATTACAGAGATATAGGGTGTTCAAAATCGATATTTTTCAACTTTAGGATTTTTTTTGTGTCGAAAATATTCATTATCGGTCAAAACGGCTCACATGTCCCTATCTCAACTTTTGTTTCACTATTTACTGATATTCAATCGGAACAGATACAGGGTGGTTCAAGATTCAGAATTCTGATCACATGCATATTTTCATGGATTTCTCCCGACTGATTCTCGATATTATAGAGATAGTGTGAGCTCATCGTGACATACCCTGTATGTTTCGTACCGTTTGTTGTATTTTCTCCAATCAAGGAATACTTTCTTCTGATTTTCGTGCTTTCTGTTCGAAACTGTATCTTTTAAGAATTTACCATCTTCAATAACTGTGATACAGAACGTAATCGTAATTTTGGCAAAATCTTCATCTATGATCAGGTCCTCGGTCAGGTCATAACTTTTGAGCCACTGTGTATAAGCGAATCATACTTGGTAGGTATATTCGACTCATATTTCTCTTCAAAACTAAATATGAATCGAATTTAGAATCCAGATCCGTCTTCAGGCAAAACAAAAAACTTCTTTTTTTTCAACAGTGCGCATCCAATTTGAAAAACAGTATTTTTATTGAACTCGTTATTAAAAAAATCCAATTTTATTACAAAAAAATAACCAGTCGTCAAATTTCAACCTAATTAGAGCCGAATTAGGTAAACTATCGATGGATTTCGTTCCATAGAACAATTTGTCAATTATTTTTGGTATTTTCGAGTGCACATTACATTTTCACACACACAAATTAATCAAGTATTTTACACTCTTGAACTTTTGCACGTAGATTCATATTCCGAATTTTTTTATTTTAGTATTGTCAGTAATTTTACATTGTTTGGCCTTCAAGGTCCTTGATATTACCGACGTAATTGAACATGTGGAAGATGCCTACTGGAAAAACCACTATACGGGAAGAAAGCGGATATGTAGCAATCTAGTTACGGACGTTGAACATATTATTCAGGTATGTCTCAGATTCAACATCTATGTATTTTCTTTAATGATATTTTCTGATTTGAATGTACTTCGATTTGAATGTGATGTTTAGTTGCAGATCCGAAAAGCAGTGTTTGATACTTGTCACTCAATCGGAGAAAACCATCCAGTAAATACGGACCGAACAGAAGATCCGCAAAGAGAACTGACCAGAGTATACTTCACAGTATTCAGATCATTATATTCGTACGGAAGGCGATATATTAATCACCTTTCCAGATTCTCAAGCAGACAGATAGACAGATATTCAGCTTTATGTCTCTATGGAAACACGACAGGTACCCTTACGAGGGGAGAGTATCAACTCGGCGTTTATAAACCCTCTCTGCAAAGGAGGTAGACGCATGGTGGGTTAGGTATATACAGTGTTCTTCATTGCAGAGAAAATTGTTGTTTATCTGCCTGCCTCGTCTTCATTGAGATAGTTGATGAATTACAAAAATATATCGCGTTCCAGTTATGAATGTTGAAAACAATATCCAGACTTTTCATAGATTCATGTTCTATGAAGGTCTCACGATCCCGATTTGAAATTGATACTTAGTTTTAGATCTGAGCAGCACATTGTTTGGCCTTCAAGGTCCTTGATATTACCGACGTAATTGAACATGTGGAAGATGCCTACTGGAAAAACCGCTATACGGGAAGAAAGCGGATATGTAGCAATCTAGTTACGGACGTTGAACATATTATTCAGGTATGTCTCAGATTCAACATCTATGTATTTTCTTTAATGATATTTTCTGATTTAGATGTACTTCGATTTGAATGTGATGTTTAGTTGCAGATCCGAAAAGCAGTGTTTGATACTTACCTCTCAATCAGAGAAAACCATCCAGTAAATACGGACCGAACAGAAGATCCGCAAAGAGAACTGACCAGAGTATACTTTACAGAATTCAGATCATTATATTCGTACGGAAGGCGATATATTAATTAACTTTCCAGAATCTCAAGCAGACAGATAGACAGATATTCAGCTTTATGTCTCTATGGAAACACGACAGGTACCCTTACGAGGGGAGAGTATCAACTCGGCGTTTATAAACCCTCTCTGCAAAGGAGGTAGACGCATGGTGGGTTAGGTATATACAGTGTTCTTCATTGCAGAGAAAATTGTTGTTTATCTGCCTGCCTCGTCTTCATTGAGATAGTTGATGAATTACAAAAATATATCGCGTTCCAGTTATGAATGTTGAAAACAATATCCAGACTTTTCATAGATTCATGTTCTATGAAGGTCTCACGATCCCGATTTGAAATTGATACTTAGTTTTAGATCTGAGTATCACATTATTTGGCCTTCAAGGTCCTTGATATTACCGACGTAATTGAACATGTGAAAGATGCCTACTGAAAAAACCACTATACGGGAAGAAAGCGGATATGTAGCAATCTAGTTACGGACGTTGAACATATTATTCAGGTATGTCTCAGATTCAACATCTATGTATTTTCTTTAATGATATTTTCTGATTTAAATGTACTTCGATTTGAATGTGATGTTTAGTTGCAGATCCGAAAAGCAGTGTTTGATACTTGCCACTCAATCGGAGAAAACCATCCAGTAAATACGGACCGAACAGAAGATCCGCAAAGAGAACTGACCAGAGTATACTTTACAGAATTCAGATCATTATATTCGTACGGAAGGCGATATATTAATTAACTTTCCAGATTCTCAAGCAGACAGATAGACAGATATTCAGCTTTATGTCTCTATGGAAAAACGACAGGTACCCTTACGAGGGGAGAGTATCAACTCGGCGTTTATAAACCCTCTCTGCAAAGGAGGTAGACGCATGGTGGGTTAGGTATATACAGTGTTCTTCATTGCAGAGAAAATTGTTGTTTATCTGCCTGCCTCGTCTTCATTGAGATAGTTAATGAATTACAAAAATATATCGCGTTTCAGTTACGA